ACCAAACATGCTGCCCTTCTCCAGGGACTGGTCTCTCCTGACATGTCCAAATGATGTAAGATGCAATCGACATCCTTGCTTCTAAGGAGCACTCAGGCCATAATTCTTCCAAGATCCATCAGTTTGTCATTTTAGCAGTCCATGGTACTTTCAATATTCTTCTCCAGCACCACAATTAAAATGCATCGATTCTTCTTCCGACTTCTTTACTCAGTGTGCAACGGTCACACGCATATGAGGCGCTTGAAAATACCATGGCTTGCATCAGGCGCCCCAGGGCTCCTCGGTGTCTACAAATGTGGCTTTGATCCGATGTCTCAAAAGAGGATGGACAATACTGCCATGAAAACAAACCAAACCCTCTACCACCTAGTCGATTCCTACTCTTAGGGCTTCAGAGACTAGATCTTTGTCAGCACAGAAAGCTTCATCTTTCTTCAAGGAGTGGCTGACGCTGTGGTTAGCAGCACAGCAGGTAACCAAGAGATGATCTGTCACTGGTATCCACGCTACATGCTTAGAACTGGCACTGCACTATTAGCGGTGTGTCTTTAAGTACGCCCAGGGATGTTCTCACAGGAACAGGCAACAACAACAACAACAACAACAACAACAAACCAAATCCATCGTCATCAAGTTGATTCTGAACTAGGACAACCCCAAGGGTTACCAAAGCCAAGGGGTCTTTAACGTTAGGTGTCCCAACGACGCCGCCACCACATACCGATGAAGCCCTTCTTGGCCAGCTCCATGGTGAACCTCCTCGTGATCTTCTCCAATTCATTATCCTACAAAGAAATCATGAACACAGAAGAGAAAAAAAAATTGGGGGTGATCAAATATATCACTTGGGGGAAAAATAATAACTGCATCGTATTTTCTATTTACAGGGCATTTCTATACATCTTCTTGGGTAATCCTCTTACAATTCATAAAGTAGATAGTTATGCTTTAAAGATGAAGAACCCCGAGGGGTCAGAACTGTACAATACAAACAACAGGTAACAGAATTCCAATTGCTTTGTAAAAACACAGGACTGTTAGTCAATAGCAAAAGGAAAATTACTAGATGAGACCACTACTCTGAGGATAAAAACCAAGACAGAGGGTTGCAGATCAAAGGAAACAGACTTTGGAAACTCTTAAGGGCAGGAGGGCGGGCAAGAGCGGGAAGACATATCAATGGCCAATGGCCTCGTGCAGGGGTTCTCAGCCTTCCTAACACCGTGACCCTTTAATACAGTCCTCATGTTGTGGTGACCCCAGACCATAAAATTATTTTCGTTGCTACTTCATCTCTGTCAGTTTGCTACTGTTATGAATCAGGCACAACAGTGAAAGGGTCGTTCGACCCCCAAAGGGGTCGCGACCCACAGGTTGAGAACTGCTGGCCTACTGCTGGTTGACAGACGCTGACTTGAGTGAAAGGGAGGATGGGGACAAGGAGGGTGGGCAGGATGTGGGTAGGTGATAAGTGGTTTGAACCACTGAATACAGAGTTGGTGGTCTGACATGTAAACCTGCACTCAATTCACAAAGTAAAAATTTAAAACAAAAGCAAACTACAAGAGCCATGTGCGGTGAAATGAGCTCCTCTGTGTGGCCTTGGTTCTTTGGGAAAACAAACGAAAACATCCCTGAGCAGCGACTGTTACCCTAGGTCTCTACTCTCGAGGTTTAACTACTTTTGCTCAGGTTGACTCACATTTCCCGGGTAAACTGAAGCAATCTGGGCTGATACTGTCTGTCTGGTGCTTGGCTGCAGCTTGCCGGGGAATTGGTTTGCACCTCACCGGGACGAGTCAGTAAGCTATGAAAATCTAGTGACTGTAGCCTACTATGCAAATGAAGCATGTGACCCGACAGGCACTTGGTCAGTTTGTGCCCCTGGTGTGGGTGCCATGCCTCAAAACCGAGAAGACCAAAACTCACTGCCGTGTTCTCAATGCCCACCCACAGCGACCCCCTGAAGTACAACTACCTCTCAGGGCACTCTGAGATTGTAACTCTTCGTGGGAGTAGAAAGCTTTCTCTTTCTCCTGAGGAATGGCTGGTGCTTTCAAACTATCAACCTTGTGGTCATTAGCAGCCCCATGCAAAGCCACTAATGCCACCAGGCCTCTTAAACACAGATGGAGTCTGTGTTTCTATGTTGCAGTCCCACAGCTCTTGGGGAAGAGAAGCAGGAAGAAACCAGAGGGAGCCAGAAAGAGAAGGCACTTCCTCACACAAGGCGTAACGTGGCCAAGGGCTGGGATGCAGAAGATGGGGAGAGGCAGGCCCGGAAGGGCCCAGCCAGTGGCAGAATCAGAGGGGACAGAGCAGGGCTAAGAGAAGACTGTCCTGGGGAGCCGTCCTGCACTAAAGAAGAGAGACTTTGCTCCCGTCACCTGTTACTTACTTGTCTAATTAAGCCCATAACCATAAGTGTGGTCTATGAGTTCTGTTGAACCCAGCACAGAAGTGGAGAGTGCAGTGGGAGGGTTCACCTGTGTCAGGACAGGTGAAAGGTTGGGGGTGAAAGTGCATTACAGCTTCACCTCCCAGCAACCAGCTTTGGGCGGAGGCTAACTAATGGTCCTTCGCTTGCCCCCTCCTGAAGTTGGGCGAGGAGGTCTGACATCACCATGCCATTTTCACGCACCATTATGGTATATTTTTATTTAAATGGTAGCTTTTAATGAGACAATAAATTCCTATCTTTATTATTCTTGTACAGATTGCTATTGGTACTACATGAAACACAGTAACAACTAGCTTTAATTAACTTGGAACTGATAGTACCGGATTTTTACCAGATGATTCCTAAAATTTCTATTTATACCTTGATATCTCAACATTACAATTTCAGTTCATAATAATTTATAGACATGGCTGTAAGGGTCTGACAATGTGAAGGTATTAATTAAGTCCTGACCAAGTAAGAAAATGGAAAAGGACATTGACGTTGAGCAAGTGACCTTTTATTTGGCAAATACCCAGTGAGTTAATAATTTACTTGTTTTTCTATTCCTTCTGAAAAGCAATAGGGACCATTAATCACATTGGTATGGGGGATAGAGAGAAGCCCAAGCCATTTCAAGCCCTTGGTTAATGCAGTATGTGCACAAACATGAATACTCACAGTGTAGTTCTTGGGATTGATCTTCACCCCAGCTTTAGCACCCCCGAATGGCACATCTACAAGAGAGCAGAAAGCTGTTATTCCACATAAAGGTTCAAAGAATCAAAAGGCAGACATCACAATGAAATATTGGGAAAGTGTGGATTGCTTTAAACACAAATTTCACAACATTCAAGAAATAAATCCAAGTGGAGAGTAAATGTTTTGAGAATGATGAGGGCAATGAATGTACAAATATGCTTTACACAATTGATGTATGTATGGATTGTGATAAGAGTTGTATGAGCCCCTAATAAAACGATTTAAAAAAAATAAATCCACACCGATCTCTTCTAAAATGTTGCACTTTGATAGTGACCAAAAATAAGGCCAGGCAAGTTACAATGTGTATTTAACCAGTGCTTCTACTACTGCGAAATATAGCCTTACAGTCGATCCCCTTCAATTATCAAGAGGGTAGAAAGGGACTTACTGTACCACGCTCGCAGTTATTTCCTATTAAGAAATTCCCCACTCGAAACAACAAACATCTTATTAAGACTAAGTGAAAGGAGATATAAGTCTTAAAACATGTAACTTAAGAGGAAAAAAATCAGTTCTGATAAGGTACATTTCTATAGCACCTTAAAAATAACTTTGAATGTAAACCCATTTCCCCCAACGAGTGTATGTTAGGTAACAATAACAGCAGCCACTCACCAACGACTGCACATTTATATGTCATCAGCGAAGCCAAAGCTTTCACTTCATCCACACTCACATCTGTGCTGTACCGGATACCTGCCAGGGGTTGAAGAAAAGAGAGGCGTTAGAAGGAAGGAGATATATGCAGAATATCCTTGTGAGATACATATAAATATTTGTAGTTATTTTTCATGCTACAAACGGACAATATCCACACTTTCCCCCTTTTCCCTCTTGGTAGTTGCCACCACTGGAAGCAACTATCAGAAGAGCACGGAAAGTCTACCAGTCCAGAGAAGCTTCTGTGTTGGATGCTGGGAAGGGCTGCACAGGACGCTGACTTTGGTGTTAAGACTGGCAATGGGAGCCTAGTACTTGCTTTCTGAAGGAGGAAGTAAGAACTTTCAGGGACTTTGAGATGACAAAGATAAATGTGGGCTCTTCTCTCCGTACGAACATACAACCATAAGGGAAACAAGCCTGATTTCACAAGATAAATGGAATGCTTTAAGGATTCTCAGAAAGCTACTAGCTCAGTGGAGGTTTTTTTTTTAAGTTTCCCTTTTTCTTTTGGGTTTGAGTGGCTTGACAGCAGGGAGTTCCAAGAATCTTGCTTTGTGATAACTCACCAACATGGGCAGATGGCTGGTTAGCAAGCCTGGCAGATTCAACTCAAATGTCAATGTCAAAAGCGAAAAATATCGGTTTCAAATCTTGTAGACAGACCTAAAGAGATCCTCACCTATTACTTGCTTCACCCACTGCTAGCCTCTTTCTGGCTAGAGATGAGAAGGTTGTAAAGTCAGTTTTCTCCTTTTTGGGGAATGAACGCTTTCCTTCACTCTTTCGAGGTGACTAAGTAGGCAGGAAACCCTGCATAGAGAGGGCATAAGAAGTGTCTGCGGCCAGTACTTTGGCTCTGGGGATCTTGTCCATGTATCCTCCCAAGAACTGCAGAGTTAAGTCGTCTTTGCCCCTCTAGTCCACGGTCTCTCAATCCCAGGAAGAAGGCCTAAGGAATGTTTACACACTTTGTTGTGCTCCTTGACTATCATGAAGGGGCTTCAAAAAAATCTGTGGAAAAATGAAAGGGAAGGCTAATGGCATTTTTCTGTGAAGCTTTGAAGCCCTCTTGTATATGTGAATGTGATGAAGGGTACCAGTTGAAACTGCGTCTTTTTCTATCCATCCTCTGTCAACAGAGATTCAGTTCCCTGTTTCCACCACCTCTAGAGAGTCACAGGTAAGTAATGAGAGCCACTCATTACTTTAAAAAAATATTCTGGAAATAAAAGTTTTTCAGGTGGAAAAGTTGGTGGTTCAAACTCACTATCTGCTCTGAAGGAGAACGATGAGGCTTGCATGTTATTGTAAGGATTTAGTCTTAAAAAGTCCAGAGAGCTATTCTGTGTCTGATAGAGTAGCTACAAGTCAGAATTTGCTCAATGGGCAATGGGAGTGGGTTTGGCTTTTTGGGTTTCTTAAATGGAGGAAGAAGTTATTTTCCCTTAGCTAGTACTTTTAACATAGGGGACTAAAAATAACTTGAAATAGGCATAAATCAAAGAGCAAAAGCATCCAAATGGCAACCCCAGATGCTGATTAAAAAAAATAAGCCCCTCCCTCTACTCAAGTCCTCCCTCAATGCAAGAACACTTTGTTCTATTAAACTGGTATTCCATGATGCTCACCTTCCCGACACCATTGCTGAAGACAAAGCGGGTGCATAAGCAAATGTGGTGAAGAAAGCTGATGGTGCCCAGCTATCAAATGATATAACATGGGGTCCTAAAGGCTTGAAGATAAACAAGTGGCCATGTAACTCAGAAGCAACAAAGCCTACATGGAAGAAGCACACCAGCCTGTGTGATCACGAGGTGCTGAAGGGTTTAGGCATCAGGCATCAAAGAACAAAAAAATGATATCACTGTGAATGAGAAGGGAGTGTGGAGTGAGGACCCAAAGCCCATCTATAGGCAACTGGACACCCTCTTACAGAAGGTTGTGGAGGAGATGAGCCAGTCGGGGTGCAGTATAGCATTGATGAAACATACAACTTTCCTCTAGTTCTTTAATGCTTCCCCCCAAGATCTCAATTCTACCTTAGAAATCTAGCTAGACCAGAGAATGTACACCAGTACACATAGGAACTGGAAACACAGGGAATCCAGGATGGATGATCCCTTCAGGACTAGTGGTAAGAGTGGTGATACTGAGAGGATGGAGGGAAGGTGGGGTAGAAAGGGGGAACTGATTACAAGGATCTACACATAATCCCCACCCTGGGGGAAAAGTTGGGGAAGGGAGGTGTCAGACAGTTAAGACATAACAAAATAATAATAAATTATAAATTATCAAGGGTTCATGGGGGGAGGATGAGGAGCTGATACCAAGGGCTCAAATAGAAAGCAAATGTTTTGAGAATGATGATGGCAACAAATGTACAAATGTGCTTGACACAATGGATGGATGGATGGATTGTGATGAGTTGTACGAGCCCCAAATAAAATGATTCAAAAAAATAATAATAAGCCCCTCCCCTGGCACAAAATAAAAACCCAACAAAGCAAACCCACCGTTAATGAGTTGATTCTAACTGGTGGCTACCCTATGAGGGCAGGGCAACCCCCTGTGGTCTGAACCTTGTGGTTAGAAGTTCAAAACATACCCACTACATCACCAAGGCTCCTTTGTACAAAACAGAGCAGGCAAAATGTTGACATTTTCACAAAAGGCCCGAGTGAGATGAGTCAGAAACTGTGTATTAAAAGCAAAACATACTTTCAGTAGACGGAAGCCAAAAATTCTTATTTGTAAAGATTTCTTTCTCAACTACACCCATTTTGAAAGGTCAACTGCAAAACACTAAAGTGGCCTCTAGTGGCCACCACAGGGCACTTTCTGCAGGAGCAGAGGCAATAAAGAACGTGTAGTGAACTGGGGCGGGGGAGAAGAATGCTCAGGCGAGATGCAGACACACTTTAGGGGCTGCATTGCCTGCTCTCTTTTCAACGTTCGAAGCACTCAGCGAAGCAGACATGATGCATTTAGTTTTGCACGATGGCAGGTATACTAGTACAAAGTTAAAACTATCGATTTGAAACAAACAACCTCGTGAATTAAATACCCCTTTACCAATGCTTAAGCAAAACAAAATAGAAGCTATCCCTAACCCAGGAAAAGAGAGTTACCGGTAATCTTGTCTCTGAGATTAGGACACAAAGATCACTATTAAAAATATACCATCCCCTGGAGATTCTGAGCCACAGACTGACTAATAGACATGAAAAGATTTCAATAAGAACCTGGCTGTACAGTTGGATTCCATTTGGAAAGCGAGTGGGTTGAGAGAATTTTTCACAACTGGAGAATGTGATGGACAAAGTGGGGTGACACACATCAGGGAGAAACCAGTGTCTTTGAATGCCTGCTACATTTCAGAAACATACAATTAGAAAACAAAGACACTTGGCAAAGGCAGATAGTAATAGACTTATTTAACATATAAGTTAAAAAACAGAAAACCTTTGCCACCCACTTGGTTATAACTTAAAGCAACGCTACATAACAGAAGCATCTACAGGGGTCTCACAGCTGGAATCCTTACTGCCATCTTCCTCCTGAGGAACAGTTGGGTTTGAACCATTTGGCAGTTGAGCACTTTAAGCACTGCACCACCAGGACTCCCTGATACACACATTTATAAAAGAAAAATCAGACTACCTTAAAATGTTTTTT